GCCCTGGGTGGGGGAACCGCATGCGAACACCCCCACTGGGGCCTTCGGTGGAGCTCCCTATGGGGCTACGAAACGCTGCCCTGGGTGGGGGAACCGCATGCGAACACCCCCACTGGGGCCTTCGGTGGAGCTCCCTATGGGGCCACGAAACGCTGCCCTGGGTGGGGGAACCGCATGCGAACACCCCCACTGGGGCCTTCGGTGGAGCTCCCTATGGGGCTACGAAACGCTGCCCTGGGTGGGGGAACCGCATGCGAACACCCCCACTGGGGCCTTCGGTGGAGCTCCCTATGGGGCCACGAAACGCTGCCCTGGGTGGGGGAACCGCATGCGAACACCCCCACTGGGGCCTTCGGTGGAGCTCCCTATGGGGCCACGAAACGCTGCCCTGGGTGGGGGAACCGCATGCGAACACCCCCAGTGGGGCCTTCGGTGGAGCTCCCTATGGGGCTACGAAACGCGTGAGAGGTGTGCCGAGAGCAGAGGCAAGGAGGGGGAGGAGGGAGGAGAGGAGGAGGAGAGGAACGCGGGGCACCGTCTCTTCAAAACGAGGACCCAACACCACAGGATGGTTGGGAAAAAACGAGACGACGTGCGCACGCGCGCGTCGTCGCGCGCGCATGCCGAAATCCTTCAAAAACCTTCGGTGCGGAAGGATTTCGCAATCGAGTTTCCAAAACATACAAAAACACATGGTTTCGCAACACGGATTTGCTAAAAAAGCTTCCGCGCGAGCTCTTGCGTTTTTTTTTAGTTGCACAACATTTTATTAAACGGGCTTCGCGCGCGCGCATGTCGAAATCAGTCGAAAGCCCTTGCGCGTGTGCCGTCGCGAGAATCCTCTGCAAAAAAGGTGACGAAGTGCAGACGCGGGCGTCGTCGCACGCGTACGCCGAAAACCTTCAAAACCCATCGGTTTCGGAAGGATTTCAAAATCGTGTCCAGGTTTCGCAACACGGATTTTCAACAAAAGCGTGCGCGCGCGCTCTTGCGTCGTCGTCGTCGTCGTCGCCGTCCTCCCTTCTCCCGCGTCGTCGTCGTCGCCTACGTCGTCCTCTGTGTTTCCTCGTGTTCGTCGTCGTCCTCTTTGGCGTCGTGGTCGTTTCCGTAGTCGTTGTCGCCGCGGTCGTCCTGCCTCCTCCTCCCCCGTCGTCGTCGTCGTCGTCCGTCGTCGGCGTCTCGTCGTCGTCCCTCCTATTTTGTCGCCGTCGTCGTCGTCGTCGTCGTCGTCGTCGTCGTCGTCGTCGTCTTCCCTCCTCCCTCGTCGTTGTCGTCGTCGGCGTCGCCGTCCTTCCTCCTTCTTTGTCGTTCGCGTCGTCGCCGTCCTCCCTCCTCCCTCGTCGTTGTCGTCGTTGTCGCCGTCGTCGTCCTCCCTCCTTTCTCGTCGTCGTCTTCGTTGGCGACGTCGTCGTCGTCTTCGTCGTCGTTGGCGTCGGCGTCGTCGTCGTCGTCGACGTCGGCGGCGTCGTCGTCGTCTTCGGCGTCGTTGACGTCGTCGTCGTCGTCGGTGTCGTCGTTGTCGTCGTCGTCGTCATCGTCGTCGTCGTTGTCATCGTCGTCGGCGTCGGCGTCGTCGTCGTCGTCGGTGTCGTCGTTGTCGTCGTTGTCGGCGTCGTCGAAGTCGTTGGAGACGTCATCGGTGTCATCGTAGTCGTTGTCGGCGGCGTCGTCGTCGTTCTCGCTGTCGGCGTCGGCGTCGCTGTCGTTGCCATGCGCCATTTGATACCCACCGTCACGGTCTTAAGATCTTTTGCAAACCAAGTTGCGGGTGGGTGGGTGGGATGTTTGCGCGAGCAGTGGAGTGGACAATTGACTGCGAACAGAAATTAATGCACGAGCAGTGGAGAGGACAGCTTCAAGACGGTCAAAGATGAGTTGCACCACATAGATTTCACCACGTCGGTTGCACCACTTAGATTGCGCACCATATAGAGCACACCACAGAACTTTAAATGCGCAGCGTAGATTGCATATCGTAATGCGCAACACATAACGCACCCAGTTTGCACCCCATACATTGCACACACCGTTTGTTCGACGCATCCAATTCAACAGATTTTGCACCACGCAGGTTGCACCACATAAGCGGGCCCACTTACATTGTACAGTAGAATCAGTAGAAGCCCATTATATGGCTTCCACGATGGCTTATATATACATATATATATAGGTAAATGCACAAACAAGCTGTGCACAATTTGAGGACTGTGTTATATATTTCAGTAGTTATGTATGTGTAGATGCGTGTGTCCACACGACTTCCGCCAGACATGTCGGGCTAACCTTGTTTCTGGAGCGCTTCGCGCGGCCTTGCAGTTTGCATGAATCAGGAACCTGCTTCAGCGGTGAATCTGTGAGCGGCAGTATGGCACTCAGCAGAATCAAGCGGCAGCAGCACACAGCAGCAGCGCCACGCAGCAAAGCTACGATCAGCAGGCAACAGCAGCAACCGTCACCAGTAGCAGGCTGCGTCAGCAGGGACGTCAAGAAACAGCGCCCTGCATTAGACACGAGTGGCAGCCGGCAGCACCTTGACGCCATCAGCAGCAGCAGCAGCATCACATAACACACGCACCAGCGAAGACCATTCCGCAACTAGCGGCGAGGAACAGCAAACGACAGGCGCAGCAAACAGCACCAAACGCCAGCACGGTGCAGAAAGCGGCAGCGAGCTTGACGCAGTGAAGCAAGCGAGTCATAATACAGGCGAGAAGTCCACAAGTTGTCAGGTCGCGCGGATAGCAAACACGCAAGCAGGACAAGAGGCGAGAAGTCAAGCAAGTACGCGATCATCGCTAGTTCACAGGGCAGCCCTAGTCAGCTACGGCGCTGGGATCAGCGCGTGCGAGACAGGCGGGCAGGCGCATGATGCCTTGTCGTTGCTCGGAAAAGTCTATGAGAATTTGAACGCCAGCGTCTGTTGAGATTTCTCGATCCTCGTGCCCGTGATGCTGCTGATGCAGTTCGAGCGTGGTGGTCGCAGTGGTTCGTACTTCCGCCTGGGCGTCGTCCCTCGGGGGCGCACGCCTCGCCGACCCGGCAGCGGTCGCTGCTGGTTCAGGGCAGCGCCTGCTGTGGGGCATCGCGGCATCGCTTGCATTCCTGACCGTGCCCGTGCGGGCAGCCGGCAAGGGGCCGAAGGGCGACGGGCTGGGGGTCGCAGCCTGCGGCAGCGGAAACTGCAGAGCCCAGCGATGTCCGCGGCTTCTCGCGCGCGCAGTGGGCGGCGGACGGGCGGAAGCCGAGGAGCTCCGACAAGCGACTGGGTGTCGGCCTCCTTCGACGCGGGCCTCGGGCTCGGCTCGGGCCCCGTGTTCATTCGTTCGCGTGCTCCACCTCAGGAGCACGACCCCTTGGGGCTGACCCTTGAAGGAGGCTGGAGGCCCTGGCCGCGTGCAGCTGAAGGGCGTCTCCGAACTGGGCGGCGACGCAGCAGATGTTCAAGTCCGCCTCTCGATCGGGCGCGGCGGGGCGCGGCAGCTCCGCGGCCCGTTTGCACACAGCTCCGCGGCGAGCCCGCTGTTCGCGCTGCCAGAAAAGGATCGGGCGGAGTGGGACTTCAGTACCGCTGTTGATGAGCGGCCCGCGCCTCTCTTCGTGGGCGCCAGTGTCGCTCTGGCGTGAGCTTTCGGGTCCACAGACCAGATCTGGCACTGGCGCTGGTGCGCATGCCTACCCAGCGCGGGGAGCCAGTAGCAGGGGTCTGCAATCGCGGTGCGTGCGAGCACGCGAGATTGCATGCATTGTCAATTAGCCCAGTTCTCGAGCTTCTGCAGGGGGCGTGCGCGCCGGCACGCTCTTGCGCCAGGCTGTCATGGTGCCCTCGTGCTGTCTTGTGCGCGGGCGCTCGACGCCCGGATTGGTCCGCAGGGCTGTCGCTAAAGGCACGTAACGAACCGACCATGTGTGCCCCAATCGATAAGCCCACGGCTCGTAGCACACGGCTCACAAGAGAGTCCATCCCAGGCCCTCGCGCACGAAGCTCTGTTTTTTTTGCTCGCCCCGGTACGGCAGGTTCGCGCCGTGTCGACGCGGTGGCAACCCCAGCGCGGGCGTTCAAGATTGATCAGGAGAGGAAAAAACACACAGACACAATTAATCCTCGATTCCCCAGAAAATATGGGAAAATATGGGAAGTGGGGGGGGAAGACAGAAACCCAGAAAATATAGGAAAATATGGGGAATATGTTGAGTTGTGTGTATTTATTTGTGTGTCCTGGGGCCCCTTCAATTGAGCACCCCCTGTTTCCCGGAATCGGCCGACATCGAAAGTTCTCTGCGCTATCAGAAAGCCGCGATCGTCATCATGGGACGATTCACGCGGGGTCAGAAATGCGCGATTTGCCAAACCACCCCAAACCAACCCGACGGGCCCAGACGCCCTAAGAATTCCAGTTGGGGGGTGTAACGGTTCTGTCTTGTTTCCCACATGTTCTGGAGTGCCCCCCCCACCAGAGATTTACGATCCCAACGGTGACTTCGGGTTGGGTTGGGGTGGCTTGGTTCTGGTTGGCCCAAAAGGGGGTCCAGCGACAAGGGGGTAGTGAAATAGATTTGGTGCATTGATTTGTGGGGTTGCAATAAATGTGGGGCGTGCAGTACATTCCAGTGCGCAAATGTTTTGCTGGGCTTTCGCGTGCAATGCATTAGCTGCAATACGATGCAGTCCATTTCTCTGGTGCAATACATTTGCAATACAATTGCCCCAAACCTGTTGCACCACCCCCTTTTCCGCTGGAGCCCGTCAAAAAAATTGGTCGGCAGTCAGTAGCGAGCGCCGACATCGTCATGGCAAGAGCCTGCCGTGTCCAGAGCCTCGACGCCACAGCCCGGGCCCTGGAGCAGTCGACCCCTCCCCGGTCATTTCTCGCTTTTTCGTCGCGGCTCGCGCCCTCCTCCTCCTCCTCCTCCTCCCCCATCCTCCTCCTCCTCCTCCTCCTCCTCCTCCTCCTCCTCCTCCTCCTCCTCCTCCTCTCCCGCCCGAGCGGTCCCGCGCGCCG